AAATACTAAATAAATGGGTCATGGTGCCTATTGACAAGTCTGATGACCTAAGTTCGACCCCTTTGACCCACATGATGGAAAGAGGGAATTGACAATTGCAAGTTGTCCTCTGATGTCCACATACACAATGTGGCATGCTCATACCCACTCAATACAACAGTAAAATAAAGTACTAAGTAAATGATGATCAAAAACACTGAGTGAACAAAAATTCAAAATCTAATAGCATTTTTAAATATATAAAAATAAAAGAGGCTTAAGAAATCTTTAAAATTCAAAATGTTATAAATTAAAATTGTCTTTCTGCTAAAATATTATTCATATCTAATATAGCTATATAGTTCTTAGTTACAGTTTCCTGCAATATAACTATACAATTGTTAGTGTTTGCTTGACTGTTAAACTATGTTGAGAAAAATCTATGAATCAATTCCTAAGCAGTTCAGATGCAAGTCCCTCATTTCATAACTCCTCTTATGGCATGGCATATTGTATGTGTTCATTTCTCCTGGTGATTTATAATACCCTGGGGAATTCAACTATTTATCAAGAACTGTCTATGTATTATAAGGCTAAATAGTTCTGTTTCCAAGGAAATGAGAATTACTAATACTCGATTATGATTTTGTGAATTTATTCATATTTTTGATGCTTTAATGTAGCTCATGACTGAACAGTGCTGGTTAGTTCTTGTCAATTTGACACAAATTTGGATGTATCTGGGAAGAAGAGAGGGTATCAGATTGCCTCTCTGAGATTGGCCTGTGGGCCTGTGTGGGGGCATTTTCATGATTGCTGAATGATATAGGAGGGACCAGCCCATGGTGGACAGTACCATCCCTGGACAAGCTGGCCTGAGATGAATAAGAAAAGGAGCTGAGCAAGTCATGCAGAATGAGCCAGTAAGCAGCACTCCTCCATGATCCTTGCTATATAGTTCCTGCCTCCAGGTTCCCGCCTAAAGGTTCCCCACCCAGATTTCCCTCAGTGATGAGCTGGTACCAGGAAGTACAAGAGGATATAAACTCTTCTGTCTCCAGGTTGCTTCTGACATGGTGTTGTTTGTCACATACACAAAAAGTAAGCTAAGTCATGTAGGAACTGGCTTACTGCTCTTTATACTGTGAACACACTGTAGTTCATAGAAGAACACTACGTTCTCCCAAATTCATTATCTATATGTCTTTAGTAATCCAAGGCAGTATTCACAATTCTGTTGTAATCTAAATTGATATGAGTTTATGAGCTCATGCACTGGAAGCCTATTTACTTGTGTAGCAATGAAGGCTGCTGTTATTTAAATGACTACTGGTATTAATACAAAGAGATGGATTGTCCAATTACAGATAGAAAAATTCTAGTTTACCTATAGTTGAAAGTGTTTTTATTTGTAATTCTCCACCAAACATTCAAACTAAAAGTAAGTCTCATTTCCTTAGGAAGCTACTAAAATGTCTCTACTGAGAAAAGCCAATAAACATATGACACCAACTTGTAAAAACTCTCTAACGGAAGGCTCACACCTTTAATCTCAGCACTTGGGAAGCAGAGGCAAATGGATCTCTGAGTTGGAAATCAGTCTGGTACGTACAGTAAGTTCCAGGCCAGATGGAGCTACATAGTAAGATTTTGTGGAAAGAGAGGAAGGAAAAAAGGAAGGAAGGAAGGAGATAAACATATTCAAAGAAAAGGAGAGGATGTGGAAACATAATAAATGAATTACAAAAGAACACACACAAAGAGCTGGATGAAATAAGGAAGTCAATTCAGGATATGAAAGTGAATTCAATAAAAAGAAATACTGCTGAAAATAAAGTGAATTAATGCTGCAAAAGGTAGCCTACAAATTGGGAGAAAATTTGCTGGTCAAACTGCATGTAAAAGAATTCAAATGAATCCATAGTTATCACCCTGTACAAAACTCAACTCTAAGTGAATCAAAGACCTCAACATAAAACCTGATACACTGAACCCGAAAGAGGAGAATGTGGGTAATATCCTTGAACTTGTTGGTGCAGGAGAAGACTTACTGAACAGAACACAATTAGCACAGACAATAAGAACAACAATTAATAAACTGAGACCTCATGAAACTGAGGAACTTCTGTAAGACAAAGGACACTGTCATTTGGACAAAGCAGCCGCCAACAGAATGGGAAAAGATTTTTTACCAACTATGCATCCAATAGAGGGCTAATAACCCAAATATATCAAGAACTTAAGAAACTAGATATCAAGAAAGCAAATAACCCAATTAAACATGGGATACAGATCTAAACAGAATTCTCAATAGAGGAAACTCAAATGGCTGAGAAACACTTGAGGAAATGTTCAACATCCTTAGCATCAGGGAAATGCAATTCAAAACTACTCTGAGATTTCATTTTACATATGTCAGAAGGTCTAAGATCAACAAAACACGTGACAGTTCATGCTGGTGAGGATATGGAATAAACGGAACACTTATACATTGCTGGTTAGAGTGCCAACTCATACAGCTACTATAGAAATAGGTGTGACAGTATCTCAGGAATGTGGGGAAAGATCCAGCTATACTGCTCTTAGGCATATTTCCAAAGGATGTTTCATACTACCACAGAGACACTTGCTCAATGATGTTCATTGCTGCTCTGTTTATAATAGACAGAAATTGGAAACAACCTCAACAGAAGAATAGATGAAGAAAATGTGGTACGTTTACACATTGGAGTATTGCTCAGCTATAAGAAAAATAAAATCATAAAATTTACAGGTAAATGGTTAGAACTTGGAAAAAATATCCTTAGTGAGATAACCCAAACCCAGAAAGACAAATATGGCATGTATTTGCTTTTATGTGGATATTAGCTTTCAAGTCAATGGTAAGCAAGCTGTAAAGTATAGAACCATAGAAGTAAGGAACTAGGAAGAGGCAGATTGATCTCCTTAAAAAAGAGAAATGGAATATGGAGTTATGGATGAACCATGGGTGGTATTGAACATGAAGAACAAGTAAGGAGGAGGAGGGAAAAGGAAGACAAGGGAGGGAAGATAGGGAGAGGTAGTTAAAAGTAAGGGTCATCTGAGGGGTAGTATGGAAATCTAACACAGTAGAAGCATCCTAAAATATATACATATAGGAGAGCAATCTAAAAAAAGGCCAAATAATGGGGGAGAGTGAGGCCCAAGTGGCCATCTCTTGTCACCAAATGAAACTTCCAGTACTAGGATTGGACTACATCTAATAGAATTGTTGGCCAAAAGGGCCCTACAGGAATCCCCCAACAACCCAGGGTGTTGTCAAGACTATAGGTTGCTCTCCACCAACTGACGCAAGGCTGAAGACACCTACAGAACCCATTGAACATGGAGAAGTTGAGCTGGTGCCTACATAGAGTTTTCACCCCTACATTCCAGCATCTTTGGTACAAGGAGAGACTCCATATGCTACCAAAAGACAAACATAAACATGAAGCCAGCCACAACCCTTTATCTACAATGGTGTACTGCCTCCTAGATATGCTAGGACAATGGTGGCACAAAGCTTGTGGGAGTAACCAACCATTAACTCATTTGATGTAAGGCTCACTCCTTGAGAAGGAACCCATACCCAACACTACATAGGTGACCATGAACCTGAGACTAGATAGACCAGGGACCTATGGTAAAAACCAAGTAATACTGCTCAAAAAAAAAAAAACAGTGATAAAATAACTCCTAAGAATATTCTGCTATACTCGTAAATCAATACCTTGTTCAGCTATCGTCAGAGAAACTTTCTCCTGCAGCAGATGGGAACAAATATAGAGACCCACAGCCAGATATTACACAGTGAAAGACCTTAGAACACTCAACCCTAAATGGGAAGCTCCATCAAATCCCTCCCCTCAGGGCTGAGGGAACCCCATGGAAGAGGAGGCAGAAAGAGTGTAAGAGCCACAGGGGATGGAGGACACCAAGAAAACAAGGCCCTCTAAACCAACATAAGCAGAGCTCATATGAACTCCCAGAGACTGAAGCAGCATGCACAGGCACTGCATGTGTCTGCACCAGGTCCCCTGCATATATATTATAGCTTTCAGGTTAGTGTTTTTATGAGATTCCTGAGTGTTTGTAAGAGTAGGTCTCTGATTCTTATGCCTTCTCTTGGGCTTTTTTCTCTCTGTTTGTTTGTCTTGTCCATCTTCAATATAAATGGTTTCTATTTTGTTATCTTTTGTATATATGATGGATGGATGGATGGATGGATGGATGGATGGATGGATGGATGGATGGATGGACAAAAACCTAGCCACTAGGGTAAAGGTTAACAATTGAACTGTTGTCACACCTGCTGGGAGAGGGAACATCATTTTTCTCTGGTGGAGTTACATTGGGTTATCAACCACTCCAGGGCAGACCTCATATTCAGGAGTAGGTGAAAAACCTTAAAATGGACTCCATAGGTTTTTGTGTGTGTGCTTTTATTTTGTTACAGTTTGGTTTTTTGTTTTGTTTTCTTTCGTTTTTTGCTCTCTTTCTTCTTTCTTTTTGAGTGCTGTTTTTTTTTGTTGTTGTTTTTTTTGGGTTTTTTTTTTTTGGTTTGGGGGGTTTTATTCTTGTATTGGAGTTTTGTTTGTTTTTTAAGAAAGAACTTAAAGTTGGCTGGGTGGGGATAGGCAGAAGATCTAGAAGGAATTGGAGGAGGGTAAGAATATTTGAAAATATATTTAAATTTAAAAATAGTTTTAAATATTAAAAATAACAATAAATATTAAAAATGAAAAACACAGTAAAGGAAATAAATGAACTGTAGTATGTAAGATAGTATCTTATTCTTAAGAAACATCTCTGAAAGCCAGGCATGGTGGCACGTGCCTGTAACCCTAGTACTTGAAAGGCTGAGGCAGGAGGATCAGGAGTAGGGGGGCAGCCTGGGTTACATAATGAGAACTTGTCTCAATAAGCAATACAAAAGCAGAAAGTGAAAGGGTAATAGCCATTAAAGTATTAAGAGGCAAGGCAACATATGGATGACTTACCTTAAAACAGTTCAAAATCTGTTTTTGAGACTTCATTGCACATACAGAAACAGAAAATGAACTATGAGAAAAATGAGAAGCGGGAACATGGATTTAAAAAAAATGAAGGTGTTATATGAACCGTTCTTACTCTTTCAGTTTCTGATTTGCTAATGTTGGGAATTGAAAGCCTTGCCCAACCAGCACACACAGGAGGAAGGCATCCCCATTTCCCACTGGTGCATGTACCCAGCGTGTAACAGAGTATGCCGAAAGCTATCATGTGGCAAACTAGCAATTACTGTGTGCCCACATTTCAGGTGAACTTGATTCTGATTAATGTAGTAGGCTGTCTTGGTAGTCAACTAACCCGCCTTCAAATCAAAGGCAATGTGGTACAGGTCATGGGATTGGGTTCACTGTAAAAAGCCTCGCTCTCAAGTCCCCAGGTGATACCTGACACACTCGAGCACTAACTTTGTAGCTTGGGTACAGAAGATAAACGGAAAGTCACACAGAGGCTCCTTTGCATTTGGCCCAGCAGCAAGGTTTAAAAGGACAGAGAGGCTGTACACCATAGAAGGTGAGATGCTTAAATGTCATTCCCCATTGTGAGCACCTATCTGCATGCACAGCAACCAACCTGTGTTCCAAGAAGAGGAGAGAGCATTTCACAGAGGGAAATGAGAATAAAAGGCTGTATCCTGTTTTACCATTCCCAGGAGACTTGGGGAATCTTAGAACACTTTAGATATTGTTCACTTGGGTGACCTATGTATCGTGACACTCTCGAAATCAAAGGGGAATACAGAGTGTCCACATATTTTTCATCCCGAGTGCAACAGTCTGCATTTCCAAGGTGGTGTCCACCTTCTGACAGGCTTCAGGCCTTCGTTATAAGCTACAAACCGCACCATTTGTGTGTGCTTTCAAAAACAGGCTTTTATGAAAGGCTGCTCAAGGATTTATTCCTCTAAAAATTATGTTAAATAAAACTTTTGGGGTCTTAGCTTTTTGTTTGTTTTGGTTTTATTTTCTTCTTGTTGTTTGCTTTGATTTTTTTTTTTTTTTTTTAGTTTGAGGTATAGTTCTGCATAGCCCCTACTGGCCTGGAACCCACTGTGGCCTAGGCAGGCCTCAGACTCTTAGCAATCCTCCTGCTTCAGTGACCTCCTCCCCCCCAACACACACACACACACACACACACACACACACACACACCTCATGCTGGCCAAGTGCTGGGACTAGAGCACCATTACTCAGTATTAGCTGCCATGCCTAACTAATAGGACATTTTTCAGTTTGTGACATTATGTTGAATAAAACAACTTTTCTTTGCTATCTGATCATTTCTTTGCCCTTTCTTTCATTTTTAAAGTATGTTTCCCATACCAATTAATTGTTTGCCTCTTTTTTGTCAGTGCTAGAGACTGAACCCAGTATCTCTCATTTGTTAGGTAATCCCTATACCACTGAACTATGCTGTGGGATGGTCTGTATGTTAAATTACTCTGATTGGTCAATAAATAAAAAACTGATTGGCCAGTGGCCAGGCAGGAAGTATAGGCGGGACTAACAGAGAGGAGAATTGAGAGAACAGGAAGGCAGGGAGAGACACTGCCAGCCACCGCCATGACAAGCAGCATGTGAAGATACCGGTAAGCCACACGCCACATGGCAAGGTATAGATTTATGGAAATGGATTAATTTAAGCTATAAGAACGGTTAGCAAGAAGCCTGCCACGGCCAAACAGTTTGTTTGGCAATATAAGTTTCTGTGTTTACTTGGTTGGGTCTGGGCGGCTGTGGGACTGGCAGGTGACAGAGACTTGTCCTGACTGTGGGCAAGGCAGGAAAGCTCTAGCTACAGAGCTATATCCTCAGCTGTGAATTATCTGTTATTATGTATTTTTTAGAATAGTACTATGAAGTCTCAAGTGCCTCTGAGATTATAAATTTACAAGTCTAGTACTTATTAGAAGGCCCCTCGAGGCAGAAATAGTGTCCTTTGGCCCTGACCCTTAGAAATGTGCTTAACTAAAAATTTATGGCCAATTCTTGCACACCAACACAGTGTGCCCTTCTTAAGCATCCACCCTGTGCAGCCTCATTCTCACATGAATGTTATCTCATTCTGTCTCTGTGGCACAGCAGTTCTTACTGCATGATCTTAATGTCACAGGTGACAAAACCAAGGCACTGAGAAATTGAGAGCTCAGCATAAGTCAGAAATGGAGTAAGAAATGGAACAAAACTTAGTAAGAAATGGAGCTCAGCTTTCGACTGCAGGCTGACTTTCAGAGAGGCAGAGCCTTATTCATCTTGTTCTCTTACCTCTCAGGGGACATATGATGTCTCCAAACACTTGGGTGTGTCTGTGTTCTACAGAGAAAGGATCAAGGAGCTATGTCATAATCATAAAACTGTGCAAAGCTCCCTGGGCACACAACTTCCATCCAGATTAAGTAGAGATTGTTCCTTAATCCTAAATGAAAAAACTGAGTCTTAGGGGCAAATTCCACTGTCCAGCATCACTTGCTTAAGTTCAGAAGTTCCCAGACTTTAATACACATCAGAGTTATACTGAAAGTTTGTGAGAGTACAACCATGTTTATGTCATATTATCTTAGCATTTCTGGGGTTCATGCATAGCTAGTAACTTCCCAGTGGTTCTCTTAATAGTCTAGGTACAACATTCCTCAATCCAAAGCTCAGCCTACAGTCCTATGCTGTGCACTTTCAATTCCTCATCACAACCTAAGGTCATGCACTATTTCATTGCTCTGTGCCCAAACAGCTGGGCATCACAGACCCCTGATCATAATGTCTACTCATAAATTTAAGAAATGTTATTTAAAAGCCAGTTAGATAACTTAGTGGGGTTAAAAGACTTTCCGCGAAAGCCTAAAGACCTGAGTTCTATCCTCAGAACTTATATGAGGGAGTGAGCCAAGTCTCACAAGCTGTCCTGGCTTCCACGTATGGCCCTCACACACAAATAAATAAATGTAACATTAATGCAAGCAGGCTGTCTAGCTATACAGAGAAGGTGACTGCAAAGTGCCCACCAACATTTACAGAAAGAGCCAGATACTAAGAAGAGAAATTCTCCAAGCTAACACAGAGAATCTGCTTTAATAGAGAAATCCGAGCTTATGTGCTTGGATTTCTGGGTTTTATTTAAGAGAACAGACAAACATTTGAGCATTATATAAGTTAATGCTAAATTGTTGGGCATTATTCTGAGTAAAAAGTAATTGGTCATGAAAGGCAGAATAATAGATTTGAAGTATAAATTACCCTCCTCCACTTTGAATCTCACCTTTCTTTCCCCTATCCAATCAGATAGCCAGGTCTGTGCTCAATTCACTGACCAGAAGAAAGGGAAAGGCATGATAAAAAGAAAGTGGCTAATTATACCACTATGGTGTCTTGAAGTCTATCCCCTTGGGAAAAAGCAAGGGGAAAGTCATGGAATGAGGAAGGCCTTTTTCCCAAGGCTCACAAAGGAGTCCCTCAGTGTGGGAGGCTGAAACCTCAGAAGAAGGCTGTGGAAGCAGAGATCTGTGTTCATGGAAAGAGGTGCTGATCCCTGTGTTCCTAGAGAGATCTCTGAACAGCCAGAAAGGAAATGCTGTACCCTGAACCTGAGAAGCTGGGCCATTGGCACCTCAGAAGCCTCCACATTCATGCCCCTTAGGATGCTCATAAAGACCTGCATACAGTGAGAAGAGAAGCCAAGGGAAGGACCATTTGTATGACAGGGACTGTGCATGAGAAGCAAGTGGTTAGTAGCTTCTAAGGGTGATGTGGAGAATGCTATCACCCACAAATAACACCTTGGTCAGATGTATCTTACTCAAATGCCTTAGATGATGCGATTCTGTCCGACTTTAACACCTTCCCTGCAAGATAATAGGATCATTAGATTAGGTGGAAATGGTCCACAAAATTGTTTGTACAGCTGACCTTGTGGGCAGAGAACTATGTTCAATAATAACCTAAAATAAGAAAGAACCCCAAGCTCATGCACTCGGTGAGTCCTAAATATTATTTATCACCTCAAGAGAAAAGACAAAGATTTTGGGAACTTTGGGAATGCTATTAGGAACCAGCATGTGAACATTGTAGTTTAACTTCGTACTAGACTATAATATCTAGGTCAGATAGAGTGCTACTTTCTACATATCAAAGTCCTTTCCAGAGGACTGGAAAAGTGGCTCCATGGTTCAGGGAGCTGGCTGCTCTTGCAGAGGACCCATGTCTGGTTCCTAGATGCACACCTGGTAGCTCACAACTGCCTGTAAGTCCAGCTCCAGGGGATTCAACACTCTCTTCTGGACTCTGTGGGCACAGCATGTGTGTGGTGCACAGATATACATGCCAGCAGAACTCTCATACACATAAAATAAAAAAGAAATAAGGGTTTAAAGAAATTTTACAGGCCTTTCCAGCTCAACATGGTGGCTCATTCTGAGCTCAGTACTTGGGAGGTTGAGGCCTCCTAAAATGAATACCATGAGTTTGAGACCACATGTGCTGGACAGTGAGTTCCCATCAAGCCTGGACTATACAGAGTGAGATCTTATCTGAACAATAAATTAAATAAAAATTTAAAACACCAAAAATGTCTTTGCGATTTTACTACAACATTTAAATCTTAGAAAATGGCAGGCATGACTATCTGGTGTTTCAATGTTCTTTCACGTTTTATATTTTCCCCAATACCACAGTGTAATTTAAAAATTATGTATTCCAAACTTGGACATAAAATATTTTCAGGTTTTTAAGATTTTTGTCATTAAGAACAGAGATCAAACTGTTGGTTAAGACACATCCATACTGGGCAGTGCAGCCTTTAATCCCAGCACTCAGGAGGCAGAGCCAGGTGGATCTCTGTGAGTTTGAGGCCAGCCTGGGCTACAGAGCCAGTTCTACACAGTGAAACCCTGTTTCAAGAAACCAAAAAAAGAAAAAAGAAAAGAAAGACACGGACATAACAGTACATTTTATGTTTCAGCTGTGAAGACTGAAATAAAGTATAATCAAAAGGGAATTGAAGAAGCGCTCATTCATCTCTGAACGCAGTGTGTAGCGCGCTTGTATTCTGGTTTGCAAACGGCCCCTCCCCATTGCTCCCACCGCTCTCCCTGATTCTTCCAACTAATTATTTTTTTGCTCCCTGCTGACCCCAGGACTGCAAATACAGCGGCTGTGGGCTCTCTGACATCCAGGGAGACATCTTGGGACAGCGATGAAACTGATAACAGCCCATTTTATAGGATCTTAAAAGCTACTCCAGGCTCCATTAGACTTTCTGTCATGCATATGATGGGGAAAAATATACCACCCTAAGAGCCAGGAATTGTGGCTCTGTGACAGCAGAGGCCATTGTGCACGGGAGCTTTGGGACCCTGGCTCCACCTTACTGTTTATGCTCGGCTGGCTGGTGGGAGTTTCAGGTGTGGTGTCGTAACAGAGGGGGCTTTGTGATAGGCTCCCAGTGACAAGCAAGAGCTACAACGTGCAGCCCGGTGGCTTGACAAGAAGGAGACGCTCAACAATGGGGAATGACCTGCTTCAGTCTCGCATTTCACTGTAACATTCCCGCCCTCCTGTACAACCCGGCATCATGGACTCCACATTCCTCTCTGAGGCTCCGGGGCGAAGGATGGGCACCGGGCTGAGAGGCGTAAAAGCTAATTTCTTTCTATGCCCACTATGAACTGACTTTAAACCTGCAGATGCTTGGCTGTGCTGTCCAAAGCAAACTGACAAAAGACAGTTGAAAAATATGTTCCCAGATTAACACTTTAGTTTTACCTGTGTGTCTGTGGGGACACATGCTGCTAACTGAGCTGT